GCTAATTAAGCAACCTCCACCAAAGAAAGCGCAGCGACAATTCGAGCGCATGTGGAATGTCGCAAAACCAAGCGCCTCTGGAAACGATGATTTTGACGACGAGATATCTGATGCAGCAGCATTTCGTAGGTCCAAAATATCATTGCTCGGTCCAACTCAACGTTCATTGCTTGCTACGAAACAACAAGATGAAGGTAAATTTTAATTTTGTATCGATATAACTCCTGCTTCTTTTCGATTCTTGGCGTTAGCTTCGACTACTGTATATATTGTCGTACACTAAGTAGATGTGGGAATAAATTAGGTAACGTAGAAAAGACGGAGGAAAGTGTGGAAAAGGAAAATGAGGTCAGAATCAGGACGATTGCAGGAGCGAGCAAAGCTAACGTACCAGTCACGTTAATCGCATGGATTGTCGAAATCAGTGCAAGTGACTGGGAAGTGACGAAACTAATTTACTTTTGTGAGCTTCAGAATCAAGCAAAATAAGCTTTTTACCAGTAGTTTGCTTATCAGCAACCCTTGAAACATAGAGTCATCGACAGCCTTGCCAGAAGTTAATTGCTGTTGGTATTTGCTACCAGTTGGACTTCTTTTTGATTGTCTTCCTCTCTCGAAGGCAAATACAAAGGCAGTTTCGACTTTTTTTAATACAGAGAGAATTTTGAATTTTTATCTATAAGCTTATAAATACTCAAGCTGTTATTGATTTTATCAGAATGTCTGTGTACGCGCGAACTAATGATTTCAAATTCAGCTCCCGCGTATGCTTGTGCAGCATGTACGACCACATCAAAGTTTGCGACTTGGTACTGCGCTAAGTCAAAAATATGTCTGAAAACAGTGGATGAAATTTTGATGAGACCTTTGAAAAGTCATTTGGCATCTTGTACTGAAACATTTGATATATATATATTATTGTCACATTTGATCCAGCTTGTTGGGATTTTTAGAACGGCGGCCGTCAGCAAGTCCTTCTGGCCAGGAACGAAGTAGTAGAAGACTTCAAAACAACGTGGACAAAACAAACGGTCTAGAGAAGGAAACAGCCGCGTCACCTGGCGCTGCATCCACACAGATGCCATCATCACTGCCATCATCTGCAGCAGCAGCAGCGTCTGTAGTTGTTCAGCAATGGCCAAGTGTTACTGGAGCACCTCAGCCACCGATTATGCAACAAATTAACGCGCAGCCCAATGTATTAATGCCCCCTATGACAGGTTCGTACATCACACTAACAGTTTCCTCATTTTTATTACAGCTTGAGTGAGCGCGGAACTAT